GTCTCTTATACACATCTAGATGTGTATAAGAGACCAGGCCTATGATTAGTTAAAGTTTTAAGTTTCTAATGTGTGTTGTTTTGGTCATCGAGGTTTGATATGTTCTTTTACATTTATTTCGGTATGTCAGAGCTTACTCGTGAATAATAATCATATCCACTTCAGTTGAGGCTGTGTTAAAAAAAAAAATCTTGTAGAATTGAAGTGCGCCCTCTACAACTTTAATTTCTGTTCTGTCTCCATTAATCAGATAAATATTCAATGTGTTTTATAAACCATGGATTTACCAATCAGTCAAACTATTATTCTATTCAAATTAATTTAAAAACTTTAATTTGCTTAGAATTAAATAGCTAACATTCTTATTTCTATTTCAAATTGCAGAACTACTTAGCTTTACCTCGCTGGGAATTTTGACCACACGAACAATAAAATGCGTAATAACAACAAAACGATCGTTGGACTTCCAACGTAAGTGATATTCAGTTCGTTTCTGGGACGTAATTCCACTAAGTATAATTGGCTTTCGCGGGCGACCTGAAATAAATAAACAAAAATTAAAATATATTTATTCAATTTAGGCCTATTGTCCTGGTTGAGTAATAGGGAATATTTGTTTTGTCTGGGGCCCAACAAACACCACAAAAGTGGTAGAGAGCAATGTCACCTATGGTGGTATATTAATCATTATGCCGGAAAACAATCCTGTTTCTTTCTCACTCCTATAGGCCTCTATTTGCTCTAGCCCACGGGTCTTGTACACGGGGAGCCGACGACAAAAAGACAATGTGTTATACCCGTAGTTGTGAAAGACCAGAACCAGAAACACAGAAGCAAACACAAAAGTGGTTAACATTGGGTTTAACCAACTGCAATGCTTAACCATAAATGGATGGATATCAGGGTTTTTTTGAAATGTGAATCGTGGTGTACGCCAAGGCTGTATACTGATAAGCGCCATCTGTTTTATTGTCGGAGTCGGAAACTCTCGCTGCAAACATTAGACTGTGTAATACTTTTACAGGATTAAAACTCCCAATGTCAGATTAGGATTTGCGGCAAATGATAAATCAATAATAAAAGTGTATACTGGAAAAAATATGCGTATTTTGGTGTGGATCTGCATCTTTCACGTGTGTATGCACGTGTATATATTGATGTATATAGATAAGTTATAAGAAAATTAAATAACGACTGAATGTAAAACAAAAAGGACAAAAACGATTGAAATAAATGCACCCATACTACTACTGTTGCATCTAGTAATGACTTACTATAGAGAGTAACAGCGCCGTCCCTATAGGCTCATTAGAGCTGGAACAGTAGCCGCACGGGTGATAAAGACCACCTCCACCTTCTTTTTGGTCCGAAATTAACAAAATGTCTATGATCTTTATTATTCTAATTACAGATCAGATTACTACAATAGTACATGGAAATCCCGGTCTTTAATTGGAGGGAAAACTGTATATTTCTATTGGAATAACAACGAATAATAATACTAATACGCTTTATTGTTACAATTAGGGCCTACAAATTATATTTCTTTTTTATTTTATTATATTATATTTTATTTTATTTTTTAAATTTTTTTTTTTGAGCTGATGCATAGACACATTTCCAACATAAACCCTTTTGGTTGCTGCCATGTCGGTGTAGTTTGAGAATTTTTTTGTTGGAATTAATCGTCTTCTTTATTATAAAAATAGTAATTAGGCTCTCATTTCTTGCTCCAACTGCTTCATTTCCTACGCCTTTCCTTTTGAAATTATTTTATAGTATAGGCTAGATCTTGTTTTATAGTATAATATACTATAAAACAAGATCTAGTATATATTATATTCCTTCAAATTAATGGTTCCATGTTTTTTTTTTCTAACTAATAGTATTTATTGAAAGCCAAACAAAATCGATTGAACTAGAAAAGATGGTCATTACAGCAAAGAGCGGATGTTTTTTTTTTTACATCTAAATCCCGTTAATCTATTATTAATAAATCCCATTACATCAGTAATTGATCAATTCAGGATATGTACATCCATTATTGGGATATGATTTTCATAAATGCAAGATAATGGTGCGGTTAGCGTTTACGATTCAGGCTTGATCTTATTTTATAGTATATATTCCTTCAAATTAATGGTTTCGTGTTTTTTCTAACTAATAGTATTTATTGAAAGCCCAACAAAATCGATTGGACTAGAAAAGATGGTCATTACAGCAAATAGCGGATGTTTTTATTGACATCTACATCCTGTTAATATATTATTAATAAATCCCATTACATCAATAATTGATCAATTCAGGATATGTACATAAGGTATTATAAGGTGAAATTTAATATCAAATCACTTGTATTTCGAATAGAAACTGACTTAATAGCAAACAGGACGTGTTCCTAAAATATTATTATTAATATTATTATCTAAAATATATAGCCCATATTTGCCGACAACCAAATAACTCGTTAACAAAGCGAATGCTCTTTGCACAAGCCCGAAAACCTTACTATCGTGACCCATGGATTAAATTAAGCAATCTCCTTCAGTCACTGTAGCTTCACTGTAGACACAGATTACACTGTAACCCAGCCTGTTGCCACAGCACTGCAGTGCCAATGTAGGTGGAGATACTACGATATCTTTGCCTACTGACACAGGACCCCGATTTTGGTGGAGACTATACAGATGTGTATAAGAGACAGATGTACATCCATTATTGGGATATGATTTTCATAAATGCAAGATAATGGTGCGGTTAGCGTTTACGATTCAGGCTTGATCTTATTTTATAGTATATATTCCTTCAAATTAATGGTTTCGTGTTTTTTCTAACTAATAGTATTTATTGAAAGCCCAACAAAATCGATTGGACTAGAAAAGATGGTCATTACAGCAAATAGCGGATGTTTTTATTGACATCTACATCCTGTTAATATATTATTAATAAATCCCATTACATCAATAATTGATCAATTCAGGATATGTACATAAGGTATTATAAGGTGAAATTTAATATCAAATCACTTGTATTTCGAATAGAAACTGACTTAATAGCAAACAGGACGTGTTCCTGTTAGTTTAACACTGGATAATGATTATTGGGGATATGATTTTCATATAATGCAAGATAATGGTGCGCAGTTAGCGTTTACGATTCACTCTAGATCTTGATCGAAGACCGTACCTCGAGCCCGTTACTGGCTCTTCTGTCTTCTCGGGCAAAAGGTACATTTTATGTCTCAATCAACAACAATATTGATATTAAGGGATGGATTAAGAGAGGGGCACATGGGAACAAGGAAAAAGCTAATTTTCGCTTTAAATTCCATAGTGTCTATAATTGACAAGCATATTTAAACGAAAATCTTCGTACTACGCATGATCCCCTACATAGATTTTTCTGTAGACCCGCTTCTAATATATATCGAGATTGATATATGGCACTATTGTTAAAGATTGATATTGATATAAGATTATGATGACGCTAATGTTGATGATGACAATGACAATGGAAACGATCGATGAATTTGATGCCCATTCACCCATTGCGCTGCAGCAGCGGGATGTTTTTGGATATTCATGAGTATTTTTGCTTACCACTAATTGCATAAACCATACTAGTTTTTCCCTGTGAGTTGCCCACTTCACACTTGTAATCCCCATAATCGTCCTTTGATTTAATCTTCACAAGTAAACTAAAAAGAAAGGAACATTGCATTTGCTCAAGATAAAGCACTTCTTTATATTTATTAATCTTAAAGGTAGATGTCCATTGTACGATTGACCTTTTAGCCTCCTCCACTCATCTTGGTGATTATATGCCTATTATGTAATGTATATTCATTCATTCTTGTATTGTATATGTATAAGTTGGAAATATAGATTGTGATTGTGATTGTTATTCTAGTTCTAGTTAATCTGATAGACAGACATTTCAAATTATCTTGGAATAAAAAAACAATAAATTGAATTCATGACTAAGTCGATACCTGCAACTTGTCAAGAGATACTGCACCCCTACTCACATGATGATCTAAAGTAAGGGGGACTACTTAAAATCAAGTAGGACGCAAGACACATGAAGGGTTTTGATAAAAAAAAAATTTGGGGAATAGTTAATGATATACAGATTATATTTAATAACTGGGAATAAAGGGGCGTAACTACACCTTTTCCACCTTTTCCTTCTGTTTAAAGAAAAAGCAGTAGGCCTATTACTTCATATCAATTTATGCCCCTCCGAATCCTGGGTTTAAAGTAATCCGAAAACTTCAGCTCTATCAGTAGGACGATCCTCCCCTTACTCTACCGTTGCAAACCTGGGAGTTTCCTCATACCTGAAGTCTGTTATTAACAACCATTGACTGGCAGAAAGAACAGAGTCATCTTTGTACCATATTGTTTCGTTTGGAGTGGGGTTGCCGTGGTGTCTGCAGAAGATAGGGACTTCCTCTTCCATACCACTCCGAATGTCTTGTTGGGCAGATGTCGTAATCACAGGCTTATCTTTATAATTAAAACAAATACTGAAAATGTGAATATATAACAATTAATTATGTGGTGTAGGTGCTGTGAAGACTACTAGGGCGCAGCTTAACATCACAATGGTGTAAGCTAAGTGGGAGTTAGCTAAAGCACAGCGATGCTTTTTAATGTATCCAAGTGTAAAGTAATGCACTTAGGTCATAATAATCCTTAACATTGTTCTTGAAGAAGTTGAGAGCAAAACAGACCTAGGTGTTATTATTGATAAATCTTCGAAACTCAACAAAAAGTTCGTTACTACGGGTAAGACTGCCAGTCGGGTACTTGAAAGTATTAAAAGGTCATTTGAAGGTAAGTCAATTGCAAACATTAGGTGTTTGTATATTGGATTAGTTCGTCCGCACCTTCAATTTACAATCAAGTCTTGGTCTCCGCAGTTACGCAAATATATAAACTTGTTAGAAATGGTCCAAAGACGTGCAACTAAAATCCCCAAATGTATGGAACATTTAATTTATGAGGAACGTCTTACAGCATTTAATTTAACTACTTTAGAAACATGAAGAATCAGGGGAACTTAATCGGACCTATATAATCTTAAATGGAAAAGAGGATATTGATAGGGATTTTTTTTTTTTTTTTTTTTTCTTGGCAGTTGGGTTGGTTACTACGGGGTCATAGTTGGAAATTAAAAAGCCTTCTGCTCGACTGAAGTGTAGGAAGCACTTCTTTTCTCAAAGGGTGTTAAACGGATGCAATGCTCTTCCTGCCCACGTCGTGGAAGCTGAAAGTACTACACAGTTTAATACAAGAAGACAAGGAGGGGGGGGGGCTATTAAAGGGTCGGAAACGACCCACCTGCACTCAACGCCACTTAAATAAATTTAGTGGCGTTACGGTGAGTTACGGTGGAATCATGGCCTACCACCACTGACCAAATGTGGATAAAGACTCAATGGAAACCAAATCCTCTTTTCTCATCCATCTAATTGTTCGAAGCCACAATATGTTGTAGAGACTACTCAATCCAGCCTCACAGTACTGCAGCCAAGGTGGGTGAGATTATATCAAATTTCATAGCTTACTATCGTAGAGCTACTGACGTTATATGAGTAGGGACTGCCGAAAACTACCTTATCACGACTGTCAAATGTAGGTGGAGACTTGTAACCCATAATATCACCGCAATTCTGCTGTTCCAAAATCGGTGTCGACAAAAACTAAACCTCCTGTCACGCATCACTGTAGCTTCACTGTAGACACAGATTACACTGTAACCCAGCCTGTTGCCACAGCACTGCAGTGCCAATGTAGGTGGAGATACTACGATATCTTTGCCTACTGACACAGGACCCCGATTTTGGTGGAGACTATACTGTAACCTGGACTACCGCCCCAATGTGGTGTGGCATGGCTCTGGGGAAACTGCCAGAACTAGGCCTACAGCCAAAGTGTTGCTTTCCCATTTGAGTGGAAACTAAAGGAGCAGAGGCTATTGCCATATGTGCCACTGTGCTGAAACTCCAATGTCACTCGAAACTATTGGAGCCCATCCTACCAAAGTGCAGTTGTCCGTATAAGGGACAATATCATTTTTATTTCTATTAAACAGGTCTCCCTCTTACTTAAAGACGACTCCAAATAAAGACGACCTCCAATTCAAGACCACCCTCTAATTAGACTTTTTAATATTAAAGATTAAAATTAAAAATTAAAAGCCACCTCAAATTAAATACCACTTTTCTGTAGTCTCAAATTCTGTCTTAATTATTCTAATTAGAGAAGACTAAAGCTACTAAAGACCATGAAAACCACGGTCTCAAAAGCAAAGTCTTTAATTGGATGGATTAATCTAATTACAGACCAAAGCTGCTAAAGATCATAGAAACCCCAATCCCAAAAGTACGGTAGTCTTTTATTGGAGGGATACCTGTATACGGGTCTATTTTTATATTATAAATGTGACTTGTATTATTATAAGATAGGTCAATATGTTGGTTCATAATGTATCTCTGTTTCATAATTTGAAGATCAATCAGCAATAAACCTCCACATGTCATGCACCCTTATCTGTTCAAAGCTGCCACTATTTTAGCGAGATGGAAACTTACACAGTACAGAAAGCCCGACCGTCCTGTTAGCAACACCGGCTGAGTTTGAAGCATTACAGATGTAGGTTCCATTGTCCTGCGACGTCAAATTTTGGAACACAATTACCGAAGAGTTAAGATATGTTAGTTCACTGTTCTTCTCTGTTATCTTTTGCCAACCAATGCTTGGTGTTGGTGACCCGTCCGCCTCGCAGCTCATGGTGAGTGAGGTCAATTCTTTGTACTCAACTTTTGAGGTTTCGCCAATTGAAACGTTGTTGATTTTGATAGCCTTGATTGTAGGAGCAACTGCAAGATACAAAACAGACTGTTTTCATCCAATAAAAGAAATATTTACATTATTAAACGAGAAGAAATACATGATTTATAAGAATGGTTGAACTGTTGAATGCGAAATAAACGACCAGAGAGACATAGTTCGTTTACATTACAAATTGCTATAGAGCACAGGTGAACAAGGTGTGGCCCGAAGGCTAGATGTCGTAATTGTGTGTTGTTTTTTTTTGTGCTAAATTTTAAACGGACATCTAAATATTTTATACCAAGATTTAGCCGCTTCACACGAGCGAATACAAACCTTGCTTTCTTGATTATTAACTTTTAGCTAATGTCTTGTCCATTTGTAGGCCTAATATTGAGAGCAGCTATAGCTAAACTGGTGACAGCCAATGTGTGTGCGCTAAATCGTAGAGATCTCTTGTCTCCGGTTCGATTCCAATCGCTGCTCTTCTCGAGGCTGTAATGATGATGATACGTTGCCGAACGTGTATTGCCGAATTCACCACTAAAATTACCCCACTTTATACATGTCTCAGGACTTTCGTGGGTTATCCATGGTGTGTATCACGCAGAATAAATTCTATCTAATCCAAGTTTGTTTGTTTTTTGTTTTTTAATAAATAAATAGATAAAATAGAAACTGTACTTTACCAATAGTTTGTAATTCGTACTGGAAGCGTATTATCTGTCCATCAAGTCGTGTTGCCTTGCACACGTACGTCCCCGACTCATCAGACGTAATCGCATTAATGGTGAGCTCCGATATATTGTGGTATTCATTTTCCCATATTTCAAACTGATTGTTTCTCGAAGTAGACTCGATATCTGAAAGAGTTGATAACGAATTATTGAAGAAGCACCTACTGTATCTATTACGATGCACTGCTGACAAAACAGAAAACACAACTGCGCCCTCTATGAAAACTTAGAAAATTAATATTTAACTAGAATATTTGAAAACAAAACAGATTTCTATCATCAAAATAAAAATAATACTTTCAGTAATAGTAATAAAATGATTAGTTTTATAAGGTCAAAACATTTAATACAATGATACAAACAATAATAAAAAATAATATATTTATATCATAAGTGATCCATAAATATTATAATATATAGGCCTATATATATATATATATTATATATATATAATATATATATATATATATATATGCCTATTATTAAATAATAATAATACTAACAATAATCAAAATGATATATTTAAAGTGTTTAAGAAGAATGATAAACATTATGTAGTTAAAATCAGTGTGACAAATGATCAGTAAAGCTAGCGCCGGGCAGAAGATTATGGCGGAAATTTTATATATGCATCAGTATAGGATGCTAGATGATTGATTGATAGTGATTGATTGTTTGCTTGTTTGATTGATTAATTGCTATATTGCTTGCTTATCAAGAATAATAGTTAGATTATTTTATTGCTTACATAATAATTGGTTTCTTAATTGCTTGACTGCCTACTGTTTTATGTTTAATTGATTATTTTATAAATTGATCAATTGTTCTGTTGATTGATCGAAAAATCAATTGATTGCTGTGCACATCTTGCGTGCTTTCGTGATAGAGAGAATTTATTGCATGCTTAATTGATTTATATTAGACCCCTACTATTACAAAAACAAATAATTATAGTAATAATAATAAGGATCAAGTAGTAGTAGTAGTAGTAGTAGTAGTGGTAGTAGTAGTAGTAGTAGTAGTAGTAGTAGTAGTAGTAGTAGTAGTAGTAGTAGTAGTAGTAGTAGTAGTAGTAGTAGTAGTAGAAGGAGTGGTAGTAGTAGTAGTAGTATATTTTAATGATTATGATGGTAATGGCGACGATGATGGCAATATATTAAGAACATTATTATTCTTATCATTAAATAATCAACACCATAATAATCAATAACATTTAGAAAATAAAAGTGATAAAGTGGAAGACGAATTGGTACGTACATTTAAACTTGTCAATAGGCTTGGTTCTAGACCATTCAAAACTACTACTCGTGTTCACATTGCACATCAGTGTAACTGAATATCCTTCCGTAATGATCTTGAATTGTGGGTCAACCTCAGACGTCTTGACGGTCGGATCTAGATAGAAGAAAATAACAATTTACACAATTCTGTCCTGCTTTGGTGACGTAACAATTTCAAAAGCTAAACTTGTTTAGGCCCATCACTAATGTGCTTAAAATATTGACGTGTTGTGGTTATCAGGATATTAAATATATAAGCGCAAATATTTCTAAACACATTAAGATTCTAAGCACATTAGGATGTCCTAAACACGTTTAGTTTTTAAACGTGTCACTAAAAGAGCGACAAAATTACTTGGACTTTTGTGTTTAAACCCCCAATGTTGTTTTACAGTGTATAATTTACGGAATATAAATAAATAAACTGTAAATTCCATCTAAAGCCTTTCTTAAATTAAACCAACTGTATCGTAATCAAGCGTAGCTAGTCATACATCGAAGGCAATACTCAATTTAATTAGAATGTATATACTGTAAATAAGTAGATTAGTAAGATAACCACAACGTGAATTAGCATACATATTAACAATAAAATTAACAATGATTAGACAATCAGTACAACAAATAATGACAAAAACAATAACTAGAATATGCATTCCATAGAGTGCATACTCCCGCCCTGTGCCTGAATAACAACAAGACGCAGACTGTGTGTGATGGGCGAAATTGCAGCATACCTTCAAGAAAATAAAATAAAGCGTCCGGCGTATTCAGGCACATTATTAGCGAGCTTTCGAAATGGGCGAGCGGGTAGCTGCGACGGGGAATTCAGTCAACCATGAACGTCGTACTCTGCACTTCCCGTCTCAACATCAAAGCTGTTTCGATTTACAGGACGACGCGCTCCCTCCTATCGCGTGATCAATTACGCAGGCGCCCTCAGCGAGACGTCATAACCTAACTCACGTTGCCGAAGTCAACACAACGCCAATTCGCTTAAAGCCCGTTGTCAAATCCACACAACGAACGACTTCCCAATGTATTCGCATGCGCAGTACGGTTTCACGCTCCACTGCCCGTCGTAGAACGCCGCATCGTCCAAATCGAAAGCTGCTTAATTTCTTAAGTGCTGCTGTGTAATGGGCAAAACTGCAGTATACGCTAAAAAAAAATAATGGAATCGCTCGTCGCATTTGTTTTATTGCATGAATACAAGGGGCGATTCCATTATTTTCTTTTATGCTCGAGGGTGAAAAATCGAAATTCTGTGACTTATCAAATATTCTTTCAAATAACTGTTGTTATGATGTGCTTATATAATATAGTTATGGATGTCATCGTGAGCATACTTAGGCATTGTAACACCAAAGGTGGACTTCATTGATGAGGCATAATAGGGTAACAGACAAATAATAATACGATTCAAAACAAGCTTAATATATCAAAATAAAAAGTCTTTAATTAATATAATTCAAATACATCTTCTCTTGCTCGGCACAACACAGTGTTTATTCCTGACGGTTTATCGTCGCATATAGGCTAGAATAATTATAGCTATTCAACTCCATGGTATCAGTCAGTCACAGGCACAGGTGGCGATGGACATCTAGATTGAAGGCTGTCTTGGCGACACCCTCCCTTTCGTGGCCGAAAGCAGTTCGTATCATGGTTTTGGTCCGAGTTGGTTTGGGCCGATTTAGTTTTGGGCCGAAGTGACCAGCATTCTACTAGACACAGTACTGTAGCTGTCTCTTATACACATCTAGATGTGTATAAGAGACAGCCCCTTAACGTCGCTTTAGTTTCCCCTTAGCGCCACTACTTTCGCCTTATGGTACTGTTTTTAACCACTTCATTGTTTTAGTTTCCCCCTATGGATACTTCTAAGCTCTATATATATATATATATATATACACGCAAATTATAGCGCCAGACGATCGTATCAACAGTGACAGGCATGTCATATGTTTTTTGTTTCAAATAACTTACTGTCACATCTTCTTACACTCGTAGTTTGACTTTATATTGTTTGCTAATTTATCCATCCACACTTTCCAAGTTCTTTCATACGTCTTTTTTCCATTTGACACTCATTGTAAATTATTTGTTTTCTCGTTAATGTTCTATCGTATTTATCCTCCAAATTATTTAACTCACGTCCCTCTACCAATAGTTTACAGATTAAATCTGCATTTACGTCGGATCCGAATCGAAATTCGGACAGCATTTCTGATTTGCTGAACGCCAGTGCGTCACTATTCTTCCACGCTGATTCGATTTTCTGATCGGTTCGGTAGGTCCTCCGATCTGAAAGTTCAGATTCTGAATCGCAAGTAGTAACGTTTTTCTTGCCCAACAGTTTGCTTAAATTATGGTTCTTGTTATTTTAGGTTCATGATTTTCCGTCAAGAGGCTAGGTATCTGGCCTATTGCTTTTCTACACCCATGAGTTAAATGGATACTTAGTATAGCTGCAATATTGCGCGCAAATACGGCTACAAAGAACCCAGCGCTTATATATACAGCCAGTGTACACGCATTCCACCCAAACAGGGTTGGCCAGCGTACTTTAGTACAAGAGCAAATAGTTGGAGCTTGCCATGTGGAAACCAGTATCACTGACCAAAACAAGAAAATTGACTTTTTAATATCTTCATATTCTCCACATCATAACCGTTAAAATGATAGGTCACTTACTGGAATCGACTTACTATAGGCAACGTTATGAGTGAAAGTATTACAATACTGCCACGTTCTTATGCTATTATTAATCAGATTAACATTTAGCAAAAATAAGCTGGTTTTGGGATGACAAAGCATATGTTCCCGAGAAACTGCTAACAAAAACCTAATCTATAACATTTCTCAAATATTTATATAAAATTCCTACATCTGTTACGATATAATAATAATAATAAATTAATAATAATAATAATAATAAATTTAGCCACTGAAAATATATCAGTTATTGTCAGCCATTGACTAGAAATCTCATGATATTCTTATATTATGTTATAATCTAATCTAATCATATTGTATTATATTATATTATATTATATTATATTATATTATATTATATTATATTATATTATATTATATTATATTATATTATATTATATTATATTATATTATATTATATTACGGTATATTATATTATATTATATTATATTATATTGTGAATAAATCTTAATTTAGAAAAATTAGCCATTATCTTGAAATATTCAAACGTACCAAAAGTATAACTTTCCATGTTTTGATAAACCACATTATAAATTACATAAATCAAAAAATGCATTATTGGGCTAAACACACTTCAAATGAAAGTTAGTAAATATTTATAATGAAAATATATAATAGTAATTATTGATCATATTGTCATTATGAACTCTGCGCATTAAAAAATCATAAGCTATTATTATAAAGTATTAATGATGGCATCATTCTAAAAAAATTGTTTATATTAATATTTGGAAATATAGTGATATTTTATAAAAACCATAAACATTCTGTTCTGTATATTTCCGCCGAGCACTTAAATTTCTTAAACCTAAGAAAACTGTCCTTCAAATTTAACCTAGCTTGTGTTAGCCTGTGATTATGTCGTAGGATAGAATAATTTGAAATGCATTTAATACGTGACTAGCGAATTATATAAAGATATAGTTTCTCAGAATTTAAACCAAACGTTTATATATTAATTCATTATACATAAGTGTTGTAGCTTAAACTTCAATGTTGCAAAAAAAAAAAAATATATATATATATATTATTCGCACCAAAGTGCATCAACTGTTTACTTCAGTAATTCATCAAAGGAGATTTACGGTGTAAGTTCAAGGGCCATTGGTACTATATATCAGATTGCATTTCCTACCCACCACAACATTAAAATCAAGTTTAAGGTGGAGATCAATTCCCCGCAGGCTTTAAATTACTTGACTAATGTAAAGCCAATCATAAAATACTTTAAGTAATGTGGATTTTTCTTACGATTTATCAGGGAGCTACTGTCAGCAAGCGGTTGGTACACATATAGGTCAACGTATATGATATCATCAGATTTATTGTTTCGTCTAGTAACATTAATCTACAATTCTTTCATTAAGGAGAAGCCAACGCTTCTCGGACATGAAATATTTTGTACAGTAATAATTATTTCTTTACCAGATTTACATAATCTCATCAATAATTTGTTCCTTGGGTAGTAATTACAACAAATTTATTTTTTATTTTTTATTTAAGACTTTCAAAATTATATATGTGTGTGCGGCCAATGATATGTGGACTATAAAGTATAATATTATATATTATAAATATTATAACATGATTATAGACCTATAATATTTATATGGAATGTTTTTTTTTTCTTGTCAAATTCTTCTGTTCCGTTTCAATATATATAAATCATGATATAATAGAGATAAGCCCTAAAAACCGTCTTGCGGTGCGGTAATGCTATAAATGTATATAAATAGATTTTTTTAGCGTTAAAGAAGAGGGATCTTGCGAGTTTGAGAAAATGGGTGCCACAACTGGGATTCGAACCTTCTGCTGCCTATGGGCCCTTGAGGCTTTTTTTTTCTGGGAATTCAAATCCGATTAAAGCATCTTTTTTTTTTTTCACACGCATTTCCATGCGTAGTTAGACAGTATCAATCCTTGATGATGTCAAAAAACAGAAATCAATGTATGATACGCCTTCCTCTTATAAGCATTTTACGACAAGGCAGGATCTCCGAAAAGATACATCTTATGAATAAATCATGATATACTATAGAGATAAAACCCAAGCCGTTTTGCAGTAATGCTATATATATATACTCTTATACACATCTAGATGTGTATAAGAGACAGGGTATATATTTGCCAAATTTAATACAGAAAATTCACAAACGTTTTCGGCCATAGGCCTTCATCAGGTGTCATAGGCCTTCATCACACCTGATGAAGGCCTATGGCCGAAAACGTTTGTGAATTTTCTGTATTAAATTTGGCAAATTTATACCTTGGTCCTGAGTTTTATTTGATATATATACATATATGTATATATATATAAATTTCGAGTGTATGTATATACATATATACTTAGAAACATACATACGAATTCGAGTCACC